CAGGTCCTGCACCATCCCCACAGTTGCTGTTAGGCTTGAGCCCATTGCTGCCACCACTGTGTCAATGCATTTTGTTGGGGGATCGTCCTCTTCTTCATTAACCCTACAATTTACCAAAACTGCACCCATTGGCCAACACACCATGTTGTCTTCTTGGGTTCTTTAGTATTTAAGTGTCTTCTTTATTTATACTTATGCCACCCACCAATACATTTTAGAGCAATGTTTTTCAGAGTGGATTTTAAGTATACTCAGAAGTGCTTTTTATGACTGATCCACCTTTATGAACAATGAGAAAAAGAAAAACTAAAATCTAGATCTTAGGCAGAAGCAAAAGGAGAAAACAAAAACAGTGCAGGGACGTTAGAAAGTATCCGTCCAACCGGCTTCTCTCTCAGGTAAGAAAGCTTAGGCCTGAAGGAATAATAACTATTCTAAAGCAATTCAGTGAAATATATCTAAAACTGAGTAGATACCAGTAGAACAAGGAACGGAGCTTTGGAAGTGAAGAAACAAATATGAAAGAAAGTGAAAATCAAGATGTTCTTCTACAACCTATTAACAAGGAGTGAGAAGGAACATTTTTCTTTTTTAATCCATCAAGTTTTATAATTCACAAAGCAACTTTACTTAGTTCTCCTGGAAGTCTGAGGAACTGAGAATAATGAGAACTATACTGGAAGTTCTGTATTCCTTTATCACAATATCAGCACCATATCTATCATGTTTATGACAACCTCTTTAATACTTGTTCGTTTTTTTCTTTGGGAAACTGAGTACTTGGTAAAATAACTCCTATTATTGTTATCCGACTCACAGCAGCCCAGTGTAAGGTTTCCAAGGATTGGCTTGTGGGTTTGAACTGCCGACCTTGCAGTCAGCAGTCCAGTGCTTATCCTGTAGTGCCACACGTGTTACATGTTACCATTCTATGAGTTAATTATTCCATTCTGTCATTGTCAGTGTACAAGATATAAGGAGGCTCAAGACCCAATTCCTGCCTTGTTTAAATCCATGAGATTTGAGTACACAGAAAAGGGTATTTCAGATAGAAATTACAATTGTTGCTATATCCTGTCAAACTGGTTCCAACGCATAGCAACCCCATATACAACAGAACCAAACATTGCGGGGTTGCCAGCCTCACAATTGTTTGAGACAATTGTGGTTGAGACTATTGTGACTATTGTATTATTGAGACTATTGTGGTTGCCATTGTGTCACTCCGTCTCATTGGTGGTCTTCCAATTTTTTGCTGGCCCTCCACTTTACCACACAAAATATCCTTCTCCAGGAACTGGTCACTCCTGATAGTGTGTCTGAAGTATGAGATGATGTCTTGCCATCCTGGCTTTGAAGGCACATTCTACTTGCACTTCTTCCAAGGCAGATTTGTTAGTTCTTGTGACCGTCCATGGTACTTTTGATATTCTTCTCCAACACTATCATTCAAATGCATCGATTATTCTCCGATCTGCCTTATTCATTGTCCAACTTTCATTTGCATATGAGGCAGTTGAAGACACACTTCACACTGATATTTTTGTTCCTAAACACTTTGAAGAGGTACTGTGCTGCAGATTTGCCTGATGCAAGCCAAAGATTGGTTTCTTAACTCCTGCTTCCATGAGTCTTGATTGTGGATCCAAGCAAAATGAAGTATTTGACAACTTTAGTTTTTTTTCTCCATTTATCTTGATGTTATTTATTGGTCCAGTTGTGAGGACTTTTTTTGTTTGTTTTCTTAACAATGAGGTGCAATCCATACTAAAAAAGACTTCAAAATCTACTTTTTAGCAAACAAAGTTGTATCATCTGCATATAACAGGTTGTTAGTGAGTCTTCCTCCAATCCTAATGTTATGTTCTTCATATAATCCAGCTTCTTAGATTATTGGTTCAGTACACAGATTAAATATGGATGGTGAAAGAATACATCCCTGGCACACTCCTTTCCTGATTTTAAACAACTCAGTATCCCCTAACCTCTGTTCAAACCACTTCCTCTTGTTCTAGGTACAGGTTCCTCATGAGCATAGTTAAGTGTTGTGGAATACTCATACTCTAAATGTTATCCATAGTATATTATGATCCACACAGTCCAAATTCTTTGCACAGTCAATAAAGCACAAGTAAACATCTTTCTGGTATTCTCTGCTTTCTGATATTACCAATGATATCTCTTTTTCTATGTCCCCTTCTGAATCCAGTTTCGATTTCTGAGAACTCCTTGTCAATTTAGCAAAATTTTGAATTATCTTCAGCAAAATTTTACTTTCATGCGATAATAATGATATTGTTCAATGACATCCACATTCCATTGGGTCACCGCTCTTTGAAATAGGCACAAATATAGATCTCTTCCAATCAGTTGGCCAGGTATCTGCCTTCCAAATTTCTTGGCATAGATAAGTAAACACCTCCAAAACTGCATCAGTTTGTTGAAATTTTTCAGTTTGTATTCTATTAATTCCTGGCACTTTGTTTTTTTCCAATGCCTTCAGTGCAGCTTGGACCTCTTCCTTCAGTATCACTGGGCTTTGATCCTAGGGTACTTGAAATGGTTGAACTTCAGCCAATTCATTTTGGTAAAGTGACTGTATATTCCTCCCATCTTCTTTTGTTGCTTCCTGCATCATTCAATATTTGCTCACAAAATCTTTCAATATTACAACTCAAGGATTACATTTTTTCTTAAAATTCTTTCCGTTTGAGAGATGCTAAGAAGTTTTGGTTTTCTAATTCCAGGTTTTTGTACATTTCATTACAATACTTGACTTTGTCTTCTCAAGCTGCCCCTTGAAATTTTCTGTTCAGCTCTTTTACGCCCTCATTTCTTCCAGTTGCTTTAACTTCTTTACACTGAAGAACAAGTTTCAGAGTCTCGATATCATCCAATAACTCTTCTGGTCTTTGGTCATTAGTGTCTGGTGCATCATATCTATTATTGAGATGGTCTCTAAATTTAGATGGAATATGATCAAGGTATTTTGACTCTCATGGACTTGTTTTAATTTTCCTCGGCTTTAGTTTGAATTTGAGTATTTGATGATCTGTTCCACAGTTGTTCCTTGGCCTCGTTTCAACTGATATTTAGCTTCTCCATCACCTCTTCCCATGATGTAGTCAATTTAATTCTTGTATGTTCCATCTGGTGAGGTCCAGGTGTTCTATATTGTTGAAAAAAAGGTATTTCCAATGAGTAAGTCATTGGTTTTGCAAAATTCCACCATACAATCTCCAGTATTATTTCTATCAACAACATCTTATTTTTCAACTACTGATCCTTCCTCTGTTTCCAACTTTCATATTTCAATCACCAGTAATTATCAATGCTTCTTGATTGCATGTTTGATCAATTTGAAGAAGCTGGTAGAATTCTTCAGTTTCATCATCATGGCTTTAGAGGTTTGGGCATAAATTTGAATAATAGTGGTATTAACTGGTCCTCCTTGTAGGTGTTTGGATATTATCCTATCACAGAAACAGCATTGTACTTCAAGGTAGATCTTGAATTGCGCTTTTGACAATGATTGTGATGCCATTTCTCTTCAATTTGTCATTCCCAACACAATAAACCATATGATTGTTTGATTCAAAATGGCTAATACCTGTCAATTAACTCACTAATGCCTAGGATATTAATCTTTATGAGTTCCATTTCATTTTTGATGACTTGTAATTTTCCTAGATTAGTATTCCATATGTTCCACATTTCAATTATTAACAGATGTTTGCAGCTGTGTCTTGTCATTTTCAGTTGTGCCCCATCAGCAAATGATGGTCCCAAGAGCTTTGTTCCATCTAGGTTATATAGTCAACTCTACTTTGAGGAGGCAGTTCTTTCCCAGTCATATTTTGAATGCCTTCCAACCTGAGAGGCTCATCAACTAGCACTATAGCTGACAAAGTGCTGCGGTTATTCACTAGGTTTTCAGTGGCTATCCATTCAGAAGTGATCTGCCTTTCCTTCTTCCCAGACTGTTTTCGTCTGGAAGCTTCACTGGAACCTGTCCATCATGGGTGACCCTACTGGTATTTAAAATACTGATGACATCACTCTCAGAATCATGGCAACACACAAGCTATCACAGTACAACAAAATGGTCCTTAAAATATTAACCCTAGAGAATCCCACAGAGCAGTTCTACTCTCACTTGGAGTCTTATGAGTAGAAAACAACTGGATGGTACCTAACATTAAGGGATATTGAGCAAGACAGTGTACAATAATATCAAAAGATAATATTATCATGAACAAATGCTTCAGAATCACTGACCAAAAATTGTCAATGGCAATTTTTACATATTTTGTATATTCAGAATTCTGACTTAAAATATACAATTCAAATAGTATAGAGGGAAGAAATTGTCACGTCCTATCTCCGTAGCCTGTGTCCACATAATACCATGACAATGTACAAAGGAAATAATCAGATAAATCACTTTTAATGGATTTTTTTTGTATGTGTGTTTTAATTCAGGCAAGACATGTTGCCTATTAGACTCAGCCTAAATTTCATATTTTCCATTTTTAAGCCTTCACAGCAGACAGCAAAGTCATATTCTAACACAGGGCTTATACAACCCTAAACTTTTGGCCAGTCTGTTTCACAAACAGACTGAGTCAGAATGGAATTTGAGAATCCTACAGTTGGGAGCACAGCAGTTCCATACAGTAAGAACTGTACTGTGAACCACAAGATTCACAGTTCCAACCTGCCAGCTGCTCCAGAAGAATGACAAGGCTTGTTGCTACTGAAAACATTTAAAGCCTCGGAAACTCTCTATGCAGAGCCGCTAAGTCAGAACCATACTCCACAGCGGTTAACAACAACAGTTTGTTTATATTCACAGGGGCTTATCATTTAGTGAATTGTGAGAAATTTAAATGCATTTATAATCATTTGAAAACGTTTGCAAAGTACAAAAGATGTTTGGTTGATTGGTTTTCTGAGCTAAGTGACTTGCAAATAATAAGTATATATGTGTTTTCTTCCAGGGTCTTTCTTCCCTGATTCCAAGCCTTCAGAAACCGTTTTTAAAATAGCATTTTGGCTCGGATACCTAAACAGCTGCATCAACCCCATCATATACCCATGCTCCAGTCAAGAGTTCAAAAAGGCGTTTCAGAATGTCTTGAGAATCCAGTGTCTCCGCAGAAAGCAGTCTTCCAAGCATGCTCTGGGTTATACCCTTCACCAGCCCAGCCAGGCCCTGGAGGGGCAGCACAAGGACATGGTACGCATCCCAGTGGGATCAGGCGAGACCTTCTATAAGATCTCCAAAACGGATGGGGTCTGTGAATGGAAATTTTTCTCTTCCATGCCCCGTGGATCTGCCAGAATTACAGCGCCCAAAGACCAATCAGCCTGCACCACAGCCCGGGTGAGAAGTAAAAGCTTTTTGCAGGTCTGCTGCTGCGTAGGGCACTCAACCCCCGGCCTCGAAGAGAACCATCAAGTTCCAACCATTAAGATGCACACCATCTCCCTCAGTGAAAATGGGGAGGAAGTCTAGAGGACAGGAAAGGTCAGAAGGAAGGGGGGATGATTTTAAGTATCCACTCCACATCCTATTAAGACAGCCAGGTCAGTTCTCATGGATGACAAGACAGGAACAGAAGACACCAGGGGACCAAATGGGGTGGGGGAGGTAGGTTGAAGCAGTGGGTAGAGCGCAGGGAAGAAGGAGGATTGCCGAACAACCAACCAGTTCAAAATGATGACAAACAGCATTTCCTTGCTGCAAATCTTTTCTCGGTTGTCCCTCTGAGCCCGCTTTTCATGTCTGGCCCTTTCAAGGAAAAATACCATGGGAAACAGAATTTTATACACCATCCAAAAGACTATAAATATAAGATTATGATTTCATCAAGAATATTTTGAGCTCACACGCTAAGTTTGGAGCTATTTCTTGATGGCGTGAGGGGATTTTATTTTCAGGCTAAATTCACTGACAGCTACATTCAACATTTATGGGGAGAGAGGCTGGAGAAGAGTCTTCAGGTGGCTGATACCCTGGCACATTAATTTTAGAGCAAGTGTTCAAACCACCGGTTCTGATGAACCGAGTTTCTAAGGTTGGGTGAAGCTTAATGAGATTTAGCTTTTACTGCACTTTGACTTGATGTTGATCCTTAATCCCTTAGGATGATCATAAGGGACACTCAGGCGCTGAATCTAAAGGAGGCAGTCTCTACTTTTGGGTTCTGGAGAGTGTTGAGCCTCACTCAGATGAAATATGGCCTTTCCTGATAAAAGACAATGGAGAGGAGAGTCATAGTTTCAACTTAATTATTAAGAACAAGAATCCATTAAGCTGGTCCATTAAGATTATATGAAGTAAGGCTTCTTCTGTAACATATTTAAAGATCAAGAGGGAAGGTTGGGGGAATTGCAGAGAGTGGGTGTTAATTTCATGTTGCTACAGAGGCTGCCAAGTTACTCTACAGTCTTTCTGATGTGATCTAGTCTAGAAAGGGTTTTCTTGGCATATCACTCACTATTTCTTGATGTCCATTGTGAAAATCCTGAGTAAATGGTAGTTTGAAAGGTAAATGTTGATTTCCATTTTCTCATTTGCTTTACTGTTGTATAATGAAAGAGAGTCATGGTCCTGAATGTACCTCTAATATGTTGAAATAAACTATTTGTGATCCAGATACATCCTTCTTGGACTTTCAAAAATACTAATCCTTAGCTTGGGACAGATCCTTACTGATCAACCAAAGTACAGTGTAAAACAGGGATTCCCAATCTTTTTTTAACAGTAGTTCATTTATCCTGGTGAGAGATCTAGTAGCCCACTCACTTCATTTATTCCCACTTTCTACAAAAACATGCTATTTTTTGTTTGTTTGTTTGTTTGTTTCATGTGCACCAACTTTTGATGAGTCTTAATCATTCAGATGATTACTGATGACGGAGATAGTGACTATATGTTCAAATTTAAAGTATACCTATCGTTACAGTCCTGGGTGTGGCACTGTGGGTTAATGCACCAGACTGCAAAGCCATTTGAACTGCAAGGTCAGCAGTTCAAGCTCACCAGCTGCTCCTCGGAAACCCTATACAGGGTCGCTATGAGTCGGAACCAACTCGATGGCACTTCACAACAGCAGCATTCTACAGGAGTACTGGTGTGGTGCTGTAGGATAAGCACTAGATTGCTAACTATAAGGTCAGTGGTTCAAACCACCAGCTAGTCTTCAGAAAGCCTATACAGAGTTTTTTATACAGGGTTGCTATGAGTCGAAACCAATCCTATGGCACTTAACAAGAACAAACTCTACAGATGATCTTTAAAAGTTTTTGCAGACAACTTTAAATGTAAACTATGGAAAGTTTAGAAGCACATGAAAGTTGTTATTAATGTCACTTCTAATAAAAATAAACAGCTAGAAAATCTTTTTATCATCAAGAAAAGTGATGGCCATTTTTTCGGTGTAAAGCTCTTCAGAAATTAACTGTCTACTATACTCTTCTGTGGAGTCCTGGTGTGGTGCTGTGGGTTAATGTGCCAGACTGCAAAGCCATTTGAACTGCAAGGTCAGCAGTTCAAGCTCACCAGCTGCTCCTTGGAAACTCTATACAGGTCGCTATAGGTCGGAATCTACTCGACGGCACTTGACAACAACAACAATACTCTCCTATGCTTCAGAACTGGAAACATTAACACTTTCCCATATTAACAAAGGCTAGTTTATCTGGAGTAAACCTGGAGTCCTGGTATAGTGCTGTGGGTTAATGCACTGGACTGCAAAATCAGTTTGAACCGCAGGATCAGTGGTTCAAGCTCACCAGCTGCTCCTCAGAAACCCTATGCAGGGTCACTATGGGTTGGAACCGATTCAGTGGCACTCAACTACAACAATACAACAAATACTGTTCTCCAAGGAGTTCTCCTGGCACTTTAGGATAAGAACTAAACCGCTAACCACAAGGTCAGCAGTTCAAAGCTACCAGCCACTTCTCGAGAGAAAGATGAGGCTGGCTACCAGCTCCCATAAAGATTTCAGTCTCAGAAAACCTATATGGGGTCACTATGAGTCAGAATCGACTTAATGACAGTAGGTTTGAAACGCTTTCTTCTGGATCCCTGGTAGAGCAGTGTATAAAGCACTGAGCTACTAACCTTGAAATTGATTATTCAATTTTGGAAAAAGCTGTCTACTCCTATAAAATTTTACCGCCTCCGGTAAGAGCAGGTTTATCCTGTCTTGGAGTCCTGGTGGGCTAATGCGTCAGACTGCAAAGTTGTTTGAACTGCAAGGTTGGTGGTTCAAGCTCACCAGGTTCTCCTTGAAAACCTTATACAGGGTTGCTATGGGTTAGAATTGACTCGACAGCAATTAACAACAACAACAAATAGAGTCACTATGAGCCGGAGTCGACTAGATGGCAATGGATTTTACAGCTTTTCGAACCCTACTCCCTCCATGAAAGCAAATTTCATCCTTTTTTTCCTTTGCCCTTAACATGACAATGGTATAAACATAGTAATTTTATAAGAAATTGATTGTGTCACCCAAAACATAGTCAAAGTGGAATAAAAAATATACAAGTTACTTTTTTTACTCTTGCACAAAAATCTCTGTACCTTTAAGCATGCCAAAAACTATCTAAAATTATTATAGTTAAATGATTGTCATGTTTATACTCACATGCTTACTGTTTCTATTTGGAGTTTAAAGAATTTACTCTGAGTAACAGTGGTTAAAATGACTTCTCTGAGTTCTGGTACAGCACTGTAGATAAGCACTGGACTGCTAACCACAAGGTCAGCGGTTCAAACCAACCAGCCATTTCTTAGAAACCCTATATAGGGTCGCCATGAGTTGGGACTGACTCACACACACACCACCATCACCAATGTGTTCTAAAAGGAGCCTCACCAGTGGTTGAAACTTCCTAGCTTCTCTACAGGAGAAAGATATGTAGCCTGCTTCTATAAAGATTTCAGCCTTGAAAACCCTGTGAAGCAGTTCTACACTGTCCTTAGAGTTGCTATGAATGGAAGTCTATTCAATGGCTACAAGAATGTGTTTTGAAAAAATAGTTGCTTTGGAATTGCCTAAGCATTACGAAATCAATGTGACATTATGGCAAAACTTGAGTTTATTTTCCAATTCAAATTGCATGCATTAAAAGAGACCTCAAATGTCTTCATTCAAAGATTTCCCCCAGATGACTGTAACTTTAAGGATTTCAGAAAAGCATTTTACTTATCACAACCAACTTTTCTTCCTTTTGCCTCTCATTGTCTCATCCCAAACAGCTTCTTCCTGTAATCACTTGGCAGATACCAACTCTTTCCAAAATATATATGAAAGCATCTAACTCTTACCGCCTCCTTGGATTGCTCAATCTATGTGGATGCTGTTGTTAAGTGGCTGTCAAGTCAGTTCCAACTCATGTTGTTGTTGTTAGGTACCATCAAGAGGTACCAACCCATAGCGACCTTATGTACAGCAGAATGAAATACTGCCCGATCCTGGGCCAACCTCACTATTGTGAGGCCACGCTTGAGTCCATTGATGCTGCTACTTGACCAATCCATCTCGCTGGGGGTCTTCCTCTTTTTCTCTGATCCTCCACCTTACCAAACATTATATCCTTCTCCAGTGACTGGTCCCTCCTGACAATATGTCCGAAGTATTACAGACAAAGTTTGGCCACCCTGGCCTCCAAGGAGCACTCTGGCTGCACTTCTTCCAACACAGATCTATTGGTTCTTTTGGCAGCCCGTGGCACTTTCAATATTCTCCTCCAACACCATAACTCAAAAGCATCAATTCTTCTACAGTCTTCCTTATTCACTGTCCAGCTTTTGCATGCATATGAGGTTACTGAAAATACCATGGCTTGGGAGGCACATCTTAGTCCTCTTTGCTCTTTAACACTTTAAAAAGGCCTTGTGCAGCAGATTTGCTTAATGGAATGTGTCCTTTGATTTCTTGACTGCTGCTTCTGTGGGTGTTGATAGTTGATCCCAGGAGAATGAAGTCCTTGACAGCTTAAGTCTTTTCTCCATTGATAAGAATGTTGTTTATTGGGCCAGTGGTGAGGAATTTTGTTTTCTTTACATTGAAATGCAATCCATACTGAAGGCTCAATCACTTGTGCTCTTTGATCTTCATCAGTAAATATTTTAAGTCCTCTTCACTTTCAGCAAGCAAGGTTGTATTGTCTGCATATCACAGGTTGTTAATGAGTCTTCCTCCAATCCTGATGGGTTTTCAAGGAGCAACTGGTCAGTTCGAACAGCTGACCTTGTGGTTCAAACCCACTTCGTGGTCCAGTGCTTTATCCCACAGTGCCACACCAGACTCCATCTATGGTAGATAGTAGTATTTCATGTCTTAACTTGCTAGTGTTGAGATATAAAAGAAATACCACAATTGGGTGGCTTTAACAAACAGAAATTTACTTTTTCACATTTTAGGAGGGTAGAAGTCCAAAGTCAGGGTGCCAGCTCTTGAGGGAGGTTTTCTCTTTACGTTGACTCTTGGGCAAGTTCTGTGGTTCCCTGACAATCTTCATGTGTTAGGACATCTGTCTTCCCCCATCTCTGCTTGCTTGCTTCTCCT